AAACATCCCCATTTCTGACTAAAATCTCATTTAATGATACAGTGTTCATTTTTAAGATAAATATATGAAAGAATGAAGGTTGTTAGTAGAATAGCTTGGGTAGAAATTGTAAAACTTTTTTTCATAAAACAGTAAGTAAAAGGATCAGAAATCAGTATTTTAAATGACATGAAGATCTGATCAAACACACACTACATCTGAGTTTCTCTGCGTGGAAATTCTGCCTCATTTTTTAAAATATTTTATTTATTTATTTTTATTTTGTAAGTATATTTTATTGATTATGTTATTAGAGTTGTCCCAATTTTCCCCCTTTTGCTCCCTTCCCCCCAGTATTCCTCTTCCCTCCAACAATGCCCCCCCTTAGTTCATGTCCATGGGTCATACATAAAAGTTTCTTCTCTTCTCCATTTCCTATACTATTCTTAACATCCTCCTGTCTACTTTGTTCCTACCAACTATGCTTTTTAATTCCTGCACATTTTCCCTATTCTCTCCCTTCCCCCTCCCAGCTGGTAACCCTCCATGTGATCTCCATACTTATGATTCTATTCCTGTTCTGGTTCGCTTAGTTTTGTTGTGTTTTTTTATTCAGTTGTTGATAGTTATGAATTTGTTGCCTTTTTAATGTCCATATTTTGTTCTTCTTTTTCTTAAATAAATCCCTTTAACATTTTAAGTAATAATGGCTTGGTGATGATGAACTCCCTTAGCTTTACCTTGTCTGGGAAGCACTTTATCTGCCCTTCCATTCTAAATAATAGCCTTAATAGATAGGGTAATCTAGGTCGTAGGTCCTTGCTTTTCATCACTTTGAATACTTGTTGCCAGTCCCTTCTTACCTGCAAAGTTTCTTGTGAGAAGTCCTCTCATAGTCTTATTGGACTTCCTTTGTAGGTAACTATATGCTTTTCACTTACTGCTTTTAAGATTCTCTCTTTATCTTTAAGTTTTGGCATTTTAATTATGATGTGTCTTGGTGTGGTTTTCTTTGGGTCCAATTTGTTTAGGACTATGTGCTTTCTAAACTTGTATGCTTTTTTTTTTTTTTCACCAAATTAGGGAAGCTTTCTTTCACTATTTTTTCAAATAAGTTTTCAATGTTTTTCTCTTCCTCTTCTCCTTGTAGTATCCCTGTGATTCAGATGTTGGCATATTTGGAGATGTCATAGAGTCTTATAATGTCCTCATTTCTTTTGGAATTCTTGTTTCTTCTTTTTGTTCTGATTCAATGTTTATTTCTTCCTTATGTTCCAAATTGTTGATTTGAATCCCAGCTTCCTTCTCTTCACTGTTGTTTCCCTGTAGATTTTTCTTTATTTCACTAAGTATAACCTTCATTTCATTCTTTATGTTCTTGCTGTATTCAATGAGTTCTTTGAGCATCTTGATCACCGGTGTTTTGAACTCTGCATGTGATAAGTTGGCTATCTCTGTTTTGCTTAGTTCTTTTTCTGGGGTTTTGTTCTAGTCTTTCTTTTGGGCCATATTTCTTTGTCTCCTCCATTTGGCAGCCTCCCTGTGTTTGTTTCTGTGTATAAGGTAGAGCTGCTTTGACTCCCTGTAAAAGGCACTTGTAAACTGTGTGGGACAGATCCTTAGGTAATCACCAGAGTAGGGCAACCCCCTTCACCGCTTTGTGGCTCTGTGTGGGGTGAGGGCTTAGAGATGGGACTGTGCTGCCACCTGGCTTCTGGGGCTTTGCCTGGCACTCACCCCATTTCCAATCACTTCACCTACTATGTATATGTGACTGGTACCCTTCCAGCTCTTGCCCTGGTGTTGAATCCCAGCGTAGGTGGATTTGTGTATGTTTTAAGATTGTGCGGGCCCTTTAAGCTGAGTTTCCTGAAAATCCAGCAGTTTCCTCCTCTGCCCTAACCTCCACTGGTTTTTTAAACCAGAAGTTATGGGGATTTATCTTCATGGTGCTGGAACCCTGGGCTGTGTGGTCTTGTCTGGGGCTGGGATTGCTTGCTCCCAAGGTTCCCCTCCCAATTTTTATCCAACACACAATAATGTGGGACCACCCACACCTGTTCTGCCGCTACTGCTGCTGCCTCTCTACACCACACCCTGTCTCCTCACCTATCTGCCTTATCTCTGCATCTCCTCCCCTCCCACCTGTCTGGATGGATGCGGCTTCTTTAACTCCTTGGTTGTCAGACTTTCATGCAGTTCAATTTTCTGACAGTTCTGAGTGCTGTTTGTTTTGAGATTTAGTTGTAGGTCTTTTTGTGGTTACATGAAGAGGCAGTGTGTCTACCTACACCTCCATCTTGGCTAAAAGTCTATTTAGTTATTTTTAGAGAGAGAAAGAGAGGCAGAAATAGAGGGAGAGAAACATTGACGTATGAGAGAAACATCGATTGGTTGCTTCTCTTACAGGCCTCAACCAGGGACTGAGCCCATAACCCAGGCAACCCAGGCATGTGCCCTGACTGGAATCAAACCAGTGACCTTTTGCTTTGCAGGATGACATCCAACCAACTGAACCATACCGGTCAGGGCTCTACCTCAGTTTTTAAACTTAGAATTTTTTTTAAAGATTTGAATAAAAGTTAATGGAGAAAAAGTTCATGATGTGGCATAAGATTGTGGTTAAAGTTAATGTGGAGAATTACTGGTGACATATTGGATCATGAAAGATCTGAGTAAAGAAGAAACACTTTGGAAACACTTGATGAGGACTAAAATTGAAAAGGAAATAGCAAAGATGTATTGCTAAGACAAAAAGGAAATCCTATAGAAAAGAAGCAGGTAATTCTTCTGTTATCCAGTCCGCTAAATCACTAGTTCAGTCCTCTGCTTCATCTAACCTGCTGTTGATTCCTTCTAATGTATTCTTCATTTCAGATATCATACTCTTCATTTCTGACTGCTTCTTTTTTATGGTCTCTATATGCTTTTTAATGCTTATTATCTCTTTGTTTAAGCTATCAATGAGATTGTCCATTCTTTCTCCAAGGTTCTTGAGCATCTTTATAACCACCGTTTTAAGCTCTGAATCTGGTATCTTGGTTGCTTCCATTTCATTTAATTATTTTTCTGGGGATTTCTTTTGTTCATTTGGGGCATATTTCTTTGTCTCCCCATTCTGTCTGCATTTCCGTGTTTGTCTTTGTGTATTAGGTAGGTCACCTGAACTTGTGCTGGAGGCTTTATAATGTAGGGGCTCTGTGGCACCATCTTCCAGATCACCTGGGCTAGGTGCTCCAGGACCATCTCTTGTGTGGGTTATGTGCGACCTCCTGTTGTAGTTGAGTCTTTAAGGCTGTGGGCCCCTTTGTGGGTGGAGTTAACCCCTCAAGCTGGCTGACTATCAGCATAGTCCTTGATCACAGTCTATGAGTAGCTGTGCCAGGGCTGCCCCCACCCCCACCAAGACAGAGTTGTTCACAGCAGGCTCCAGTGCCTGCCAGAATCCTTTGGGTGTGCCACTATTGTGAAGCCCAGCACTGGTTGTGTTGGTTCTGGGTCCACGTGGGCGGGGTTTGATGCAGGTTGATGTCAGGCGTTGTGTGTAACTGGCCCTGGGCTACCTGTTTGTGGCTGCATCTACTGTGCCTGGGTGTGTGTGGGATGGGCCAAACTGTGTATAACGGTCAGCTTCCTCCAGCTGTGAGCCGGGGTCAGATCAGTAAAGGGTCCAAGGTTCCCTGAGGTTCACCTCCACCTGTCAGCTACTCTGTCACCCCTTGAGATTGCCTGCTCTTCCTCTAGAGCATTTGAAAGAAAAACTGTAGAGTGGTCCTAGGCTAACTGCACCCCCCAGGCCTTTCCATAAGGCACTAGCTTGGTATGGTAGGGCAACCAGAGTTGGGAGGATGGGGCTAGTGGGTCTCCTGCTTGAGGACAGCTGGTCAGGCACTCAGTTGGAGGAAAGTGGCCCCTATCTCTGAGCCATGCCACTCAGTCTCTACCAGAGTCTCCAACCCCACTCCCCCAGGAGGAGTGCACTGCAGGTTCAGGCCGGACATAGCCAGCAGGCCCCACTGCGGAAGCAAGCTCAGCAGGGCGAAGCCAGCAGGGTGAAGCCACCACGACTCAGGAGGGCAGATCCGAACAGTCTTCTGATGTAGGTAGTGTCAGCTTAGCCTGCGGGAGGGGAGCAAGACTGGCCCCTATTCCAAAGCCACACAGCTCAATGACACTCCGAGTGTGTACCTAGAGCTTCTGCAGAAAAAGAGCACACCCAAAGTCCCTGCTGGGTGCAGCCAACAGACTCTCTGCAGCACTCGAGCTTGGCAGGGTGATGTCACTAGTACTTGGTGGCCTAGCTTAGTGCCTTCCTGAGGCTGAGGGCAGCATGGGATAGTGACTCAGCACAGGGCCCTCAGTGGCTGACCCTCCATAGGTCTCTTTGGGGCCATCCCACCCAGATCTTCTCTTTTTGACTCTTGAATTACCTGAGTTGACTTCCCTCTACCAGATTCCCAGATGAGTCACCAAGAGCAAGATCCTGTGCATTGGCCCTTTAAGAGAGCACCTGGGTTTCTGGCAGATGCCCTCCTCTTCCAGGTAGACAGAGGCCTGGCTGATTTTCACAGCCAGATGTGAAATCACCAGATTTCTGGCTCTGGGTTGGGTATCCCGCCATGGGGTTGAGACTACACGCTCCTCATGAGGGCCTTTTTGCAGCCTAGGTATCTCTCTGGCTTCTCAGCCACCGCACATGTGTGCTGGGGCCAGCCCTCTTCACGTCTCAGTCCTTTCTACCAGTCTCAATATGGCTTGTATAAATCCTTGATTAGAATACTCCTCTTCATCTGTCCTTCAGTTGGCTATTCAGGTTGATCGCTCTGTGGTTTAGCTGTAAACCCAGTTTGGTGCTGGGAGCAGGTAAGTGTAGTAGCTTCTGCCTACTCCACAGCTATCTTCACTTTCAATGATGGTTATTCCCTTTGAGCCAGAAAGTAAGTTGGGCTCCGGAGTGTAAAGAGTCTTCAATACCAAACCAAGGCTGTTGACCACTTCCTTTTCTATTTTCGACTTCACAGACCGGATGATGTGCTCCTACATCGCACACATGATGAGATTGTCCTCCTGCACTGCTTCCTCTGGCCCCTGGTGACATTTGTGGTAGGCGTTCTCATTGTGGTCCTGACCATCTGTGCCAAGAGCCTGGCGGTCAAGGCAGAGGCCATGAAGAAGCGCAAGTTCTCATAGAGGGGAGTAAACACGTGGAAAGCAAAGCACAGAAGCTGCACCCGTCGGCACACATCTACCTGCAGAGCCTGCTTCCGGCGCAGGAGGTGGAAGCAGCTGTGAGAGGCTCAGGGAGGCTCCTCCCTCCATGGCAGCAGCAACAGGCACAAGTGGGAGACTTGGAACCTCGTAGGTTGTATTCTATGTGTCGTAGGGATGGCTAAAGGGTCAAGCTCTTAGCTGTGGAGAGTAAGTTCCAGAAAATCCAATCAAATGTTAGTTTTCTTTGGAAAGTAGCAGTATATAATTGTACAGTGTAGTATAGAAATCATTATGATTTATGGTATTTAAAAATATTAAAAGAGAGTGGTCTGTGTTCTTTTCTATTTCCTTTTTTATCCTAAAACACCAGGGTTCAAAATAAAGGTCTTTTGGGTTTCATTGACTCTGCCAGACTACACTCTGACTTGGAGGCAAGGCTTCCTGCACAAGTCGTGGCCTCACTGTGTACCCCCCAGTTTCCATTACTAGAGCACTGTTGGACTCCTGCTTGAAAAAGGAACACGGCACTGTGCACTCAGTCTCCAGTCACTTCTGCGACTCCTCAACCCAACGCTCAAAGATTGGGAAACATACCCTCCAACACTGGCCTCTGCCTATCCATTCTTTTTCATCAGGTATCTAAGAGAACTGATTCCGAACCAGGCGCTAGCTCTAGGAGTACTGCCCTGCTTTCTTCACCTCCTCATGTTTATTTTGGGTGGATTCTGTCCTTGTGCAATAGAATGTACAGGATGTGAAGGTCACCTTTCAGCTCAGTCAAATGCTGTTTTCATCTTTTTTTTTAGTCAGAGAACGTACTGTTCAAACATTGCGTTTTGATTTTCTTTGTCCCTGCCTTGATGTTCCCAGTACTTAAACAAGAATATTGCTGATTCTATTCAGTTTGCTTGGACAAACCTGAAGATGTCACCCAGCTCACGTCATGGCTGAACTTTCTATGCCTTTATCGAAAGTTCATTGAAGAGACCAGACCTGAGTCTGTTCATAAACTCAAATTCCAACTGTCAATTATAGGCCTCAGTGAATATCAAACCTATCCTATTTATCTACCCGGTAAAATCAAATCTTAGTTTGGATGAAATGTATTTAATGGAGGAATACTTAGAGTATTCTTCTAATACTCTTCAGACATGCTTCTAGTAGAATAAAGGCAAATTAGAATTTAAGGTCAAGCTCCCCTCAGTTATTTGCTCAGGCTCCTAAGAAACACCCATTAGTGGAACGATAATTTCCTGACTTTTAATCCAGAGACTACTATTTTCTTAACTTTATTATTATTATTTTTAAATCCTTACTTAAGGATACATTTATTGATTTTTGGAAACAGAGGAAGGGAGAGGGGTGGAGAGAGAGAGAAAAACATGGATGTGAGAGAGAAACATCAATCAGTTGCCTCCTTCTGGACACACCCCAACTGGGAATTGAACCTACAGCCCAGGTATATGCCCTGATTGGTAATGGAACTTGCAGCCTCTTGGTGTTTGGGACAATGCTCCAACCAACTGAGCCACCTGGCCAGGGCTGTTTTGTTAATTTTAAAATGCAAGTAACTGAGAGCTATAGTCTTTGGTGGAAGGGTGCTGCGTGACTATGATCATTTTTTTCTACTTCAAGTGTTACAGGTTGCACTGTGGAGCAGCCCTTGAACATGCTAGTTAAGACATCCTTTGAGGCAGCTCCAGTGCCTTGACTTCAGTCCCAGTTTTCTGTGGCAGCATCCCTGTTGTCTTAGCAACACAGCGAACCATTCTGAAGCCAAGCCATGTGAAAATGGGAATGAGAAAATCATCATCTTTGTATCACCTTGTGAGACCCGAAGTCTACTTTATTCATTTATCTTAATCCACTAATATGTGATTAATTGATTACAGAGACTAGATAGAAATAGCACTTGGACATACACTAAGTGTTGGAAAAGGGAAAATAACTATATATAGATCTGAGCTTTCATTTATATTAACAAAATGCCTATATTTAGGCCCAAAGAATATACATTCTATTCTGTTCTCACAGCCCAACACATTATAACTGATTATGACTGTTTTCTGTAGGTTGGGTTTTGGAAAAGAGGAGAAGCCCACTGAATTCATGAGGTCACATGTAGGTGAATTACAGCCAGTTAAATTTGAGACTATTCATGTTGTCTAATTAAAGATAAAATCTAAAGAAACAAGGGGAGGGCATTTTAAAGATCATAAAAGGGAAAGAAGCTTAACATAATAATTTAATTCTCTTTTTTTGTATGTGAGAATTTTAATTCTCTTTTTTTGGATAAATGAGAAAAAGACCGAAGACCCCAGAATGTGATCCCTCACATAGGACAGTTTCCCTTGCCCTCCCGTAACTACCCAGAATTAGGTGAGAAGTGTAGGGCAACCGTCCTTCACAAGGTAACTGGGGGTCCCAGCACTCATCTACCTGCTGTTCTCTCCATGCCAAGGGTGATAATGGTCAAAGCTGGCTCAAAGGAGCACATGCACAGTGCAGCCTATAGAAAGGGAGGAAGTTGGGAGCAATCTATTCCCTGTTAAGGAAGTTTCAGCCATCATTTCTGCTCAGTCCATAACTACTTACTACATAGCTATACCTAGCTTCAAGGGAAGCTGAGATGTGTCCAGCTAGAAGGACATATGTCCTCCTAAAACTCCAGGGTAAAGTTTCTATTACTAAAAGGAAGAAGGCAAGAATGAAGACTCAACTAAAAGAAAAGAATGATGTGTAGCCACCGATGGGCCATGCCATGAGGAGGCTGAACAGGGCTAACAAAGATCCCTTGCCGTCTGCTGTCTGGGAGAAGTGCTCTTGCCCTTTGTCCTCTGTGGCCCGTAGTTCAACTTTTCAGAAATGGTTGCTCATCAGACACAGCCACCTCTGAATTTTGGAGGAAGGGAGGAGGGATGCTTCCCAGCTTTCACAGGCCCTTGATGCTGGTGCAGACTAGTAGACGTAGATTTTCTTAGGAATCAAACAAACATAGGCTTCTGTAGGACGGAATTATAATTCATTGGGCTGTGATGAAGATGTCAACTGCATTTTGATGTTTGACTGCTGAGAGTTTTCAAGCTTCATCATTGCCCTTTCCTTTCCCTCATCTCACCTGGGCAAGCTTGTTAGAAAGCTTGGGCGCCTCCTTTGGCCTGGGTGGGAAGTTCAAAGTGCAAAAGCTCTGGCCTGTGTGCAGGAACCCTCCCCCCAGCCTCACACCCTGAGGACCATAAAAGCCAAGCCAGTCAAGTCATTTTGGAATCTGCCTGGGGACTTGCCCTGCTCTCCCCAGAAAGTCTCATTATGTGAATAATAAACGTTTTCATACCCTCTCTGTGTGTGTGTGGTTCTTGGTCTAAACATCCAAACCAAATTGTGGGGTAGGGGAGTCCATCTGAGGGGTACCCATACATTGGTGATAAAATTTCACCAGTCATGGCAGGTTTCTGCTCTATTAGCTTTTGGTTAGTTCGCAAGGAAATAAGCACAGCCAAAGGGTAATGCGCACCGTCCTTAAGCCAGCAGCACCTTATTAGTCTGTGCTTGGCTCATGCCCCCATCCCTCAATTTAATGGTGCCCACCTCGAAGCCTCTGGAACAATAAGTTTAAGTAGGGAAGCAACACCCTTTATCTTATCTTTTCTGCTGAGCTGACTCCTATTGTCTCCCGGGTAATGTTTAAGTAGGCTCTTGAGAAAGACTGAATAACCATCTCCTGCTGTTTGGAAGACAGAGCAGCAGAGCTGCGGGACACAGACACAGACCAAGCTGTGTTACCTACTTGCAAACTCCTGGCAGATCTTGTCTCACCTCAACCATTGTTCATAGTCCTTTACCAAAAAACAGCCAAGAGCAGCCCATGCCATCAGTACTCTGGTTTTTTTCCACCCACCTTCCCCATTGCTACAGGTCTACCCTCCAGGTTGTGGCCAGTGACAGGTTTACCTCATAGTTAGTCAAAGCATAACAAGGGTGTATAGTATTCCATCCTGAAATATCTGTTTCCTCACTTCTGGCTGCCTGGCTACATTGCCAAAGCCACATAATTCAGATTTGTGTTGTGACAAAGATATCATTTCCACTGCCTGTCTCTGAATGGGCTCAGCCGGTGACGCCCAGGTCTACGGGCCCTCACCTGCTCTGTGCTCTGGACGTGTACTGCAGTAGCTTGGATGCACTCTTAGGTCTTCATCTGAAGCTTAGTGATGGGCAGACAACGCAGTGACAGAATAAATAATGGGGCAAAATGTTATGAGGCGAGATGGATGGGGAACCATTTACTAGCTCAGGTAGTTTACTCTCCTGACAAATTACTGAACTATATCAAACCATTTAACAATTTATTTCATCTTTTAATTCTCACTGAGGATGTGTTTATTAATTTGAGAAAGAGAGAAAGACATTGATGTGAGAAAGAAACATCAATCAGTTGCCTCCCATACACACCCCAACATTCCCTGACTGGGAATCGACACCGCAACATTTTGGGAGCATCCTCTGACCAACTAAGCCACCTGGCCAGGGCCATTTAACTACATTTTGCTCATAGCTCAACATTCCTGCCACATGCCCTACAGTCCAGACACACTGTACTGCTCTCAGGGCCTGGCCATGCGTGGTCCTGTCCATGGCTGGAACCTCTCTGCTCACCATGGATGGGTCTCTTCCCTTTCTTTTCCATTAGTTCTGAGCTTAAATGCTGACACCAGAAGGCTTCCCAAACCATCTTAAATAAGTAGATAGCTCCTATCACTTTCTTCTTTCGCACCCTGCTTTCTTCCTTTGTAGTGCCCATTGCTGCTTATGTTTATAGGTTTGTTTACTTGTCCATAAATTTATCTCTCTTATTAGATGATAGGATCCATGAAGGTAGAATGGTGTTGGTGAAACTTTTTCACCCCTGGCACAGTGCCCGACCCATGAAGGTGGTAAGTGTTTACTGACCGGATAAATGAATGGATGGGCACTCCCCAGGTCCATTATGTCCCCCGCATGAGTTGTTTCCTGTCTCCTTATCTGTCTTAGGAAATTTAACCTCACCTGTAAGGCCCCACCTCCCTCCATCCCACCTGCGAAATCAATCACTTCTTTCTCTGTGATCTCATAGCAATTTGTACATACCTCTATTTTGTTAAGAATTTAGCATTCAATGTAAGATTATACCATTTGGTTTATGGTTGTTCATCTACTAATTCTTCCTTACTTCCCCATCTTAGTGAGATAAGAAACATATCTTTTGATCTTTTTTTGTACATAGTGACAAAAAATGTAATAATAATCCCCAACTAAGACTTTTTAAAAATTGCTATTTTACTTTTTAAATTGATTTTAGAGAGTGAGGAAAAGAGAGAGAGAAACATCGATCAGTTGCCTCCCATATGCACCCTGGCCAGGGAC